TTTGTTTGTTTATTTTTGGTACCAGGTATTGAACCCAAGGGTTCTTAAACATTGAGCTATATCTCCAGCCCTTTTTTATATTCTATTTAGAGACAGGATCTCACTAAGTTGCTTAGGGCCTCACTAAGTTGCTTAGATCCTCACTAAGTTGCCCAGGCTGGCTTTGTATTTATGAATTCTTGCCTCAGCCTCCCAAAGTACTGTGATTGCAGGCATGCTCCACTGAGAACAGCTCTTCTCCTAACTTAGTAGTCATTTCCCCATTTTATAGGCTTTTCTTTTCTTTCTTTTTTTAGTGTTTAACTTACTCTCTTAAAACTAACTATTTTGTGAGGAATTCACAGGACTATTAAAATAATGAGCTTCATATCAGGTGCAATCACTTGAGAACTTTGCACTGGGGCTCAGCTTCCACATGTGGTAGAGTGAAACCTCCCCCTTCTCCTATGTGTCATTTACTTGCTGTTCAGAATAATGAGGAAAATTAGGTAAAGTGTCTCTAGCAGAACTGCTGGTGGTTAATTCACCAAAAGATAGTGATGATGAAAATTTGTGAAAATGATAATATTTTGTGTTTTAGGTAAAATCTAAAGGAGAAAGAAAAAGGACTAGTATAGGAATGGAGCTGATCCTTGATCCTCTCATCTTGTTCCTGGATAAGCCCACAACTGGGTTAGATGGGAGAACAGCTAATGATGTCATCAGACTCCTAAAAAGGTAAATGCTATGGCAACATTACATTTCATCTGTTTACTATCTGATCACTTCCAGTTACCGGTATTCCTGGTGCACAAGATTCAGAAGCTAAAAAAAAATAGTGTTCCTTTTTTTTTTTTTAGCAAATTACAGTCAATAAACAAAAAGTATATCAAGAATGATGAAAAAAACACATAGGGAAGTAAGGTCATGGTGAGGGCAGGGAGCTGTTTTAAACAAGAAGGTCAGAGAAGACCACAAGCATGTTACGCCTGAGTTGGGAGAGAGTGAGATGTGCTATAAATCAGAAGAGTGTTCTGGTTGGAAGAAGAAGCCAGTTGCCCTGAGATGGAGCATGTCTTATGTTTGTGGAATATCATCAAGGCCAGAAGGACAGACCCAGAGACTAAGGGGAGTGGAGGTTGCCTGATGAACTGTCACAACAATGCTACAGATTGGGGACTCAACAACAAAAAATTTTCTTATATCTCTGGAGACAGAAAGTTGAAACTAGTGTGTCTTCTGGTCATTTCTTCATTAGTTTGTAAATGACACCTTCTCCCTTGTGTGTCTGTGTCCTAATCTCCTCCTAACTGGACGTAATCATATGAGGACATCATGATGATCTCATTTAAACTTAAAGACTTCCTTGATGGTGCTATGTCCAATGTGGTTACATTCTGAGGCACTGGGAAATAGGACTTCAACATCTGAGTTTGGGGAAGACAAAGTTCAGCCAATGAAATGTATTTAGGATGTGAGGTGAAGTTGGGCTGATGGCAGATTTCATGGATCTCATAGACTATCAAAGAAGTATGGCTTCTCCTGTCACTAGGGGACATAGTGATATTTTGAGAGTTTTAGAGCACAGCAATGGATGTGGGGAAGACTGCAGTTAGGCAAGGATGAGAGAAGACCCAGTGAAGGAGCTGCTGAGCTTCAACCAGAATGGTCATGGTGAGCAGAAGGTGGTTTCTGTTTTCAAGGGAACCAATAGGATCAAGTCAGGATTTACACCCGGGATGGGAGGATTAAGACAATGACTGCTGAGATCTGGGGCTTGAAGAAGTGGAAGAATGAAATTAAATAAGTGGGATTTCCTTTATCAAGAAAGAAAAATGGCCAGGTGGGGTCCCT